TTCTTATAAGAACATCAGTCATATTAGGTTAGGGCCCAACTTAATGACATCATACTAACTGAATTACCTCTTTAAAGACCCTATGTCCAAATAAAGTTACATTTTGAGGCACAGGGGGTTAGGACTTCAGTATAGAATTTTGGGGTTAGAGAATTCAACTCATAACATTTAGCTACTCAGATTTTGTTTCTTGTGTGAGTTTTAAGTTGTACTTTTCAAGGAATTTGCTCATACTATTTCAGATGTCAAATTCATTGGAATAAAATTGTTTATAATCCTTTTAATATCTACAAGCTTTGAAGTGATATCCCTCTTTCATCTGTTATATCAGTAATTTGTACTTACTCTATTTCTCCTCTTGATCAGTCCTGCTAGAAGTTTAGCAATTTCATTAATCTTTTAAAAAGGATGATCTTTTGACTTTGTTGATTTCTCTATTGTTAGTGCATTTTCTGTTTCATTGATTTCTATTTCTATCTTTAAACTTTCACCTTTCCTACTTTCTTTGGCTCTAATTTATTCTTCCTTTTTCAAATTCTGAAAGAGTAGATTAGATCATTCAATTTAAACTCTTCTTTTTTCCCCTAATATTCTCATTTAATTACTATAAATTTTCCTGTGAGATGTGCTTTATGTGAAAAACTGATGTGTTGTATTTTCATTATTATTCCATTTAAAATAATTCCAATTTTCTTTGTGATTTCTCTTTTGATCCATGAGTTTTTGAGAAGTGTTGCTTAATTTCCAAATATTTGAGGATTTTTATATTAACTGTAGATTTAATAATGTTGTCTCCAAAACACAACTGTTCCAATCTCTGCCTGTTACCCAGTCCCAAAGTCACTTCCACATTTTTGGGTATCTTTTCAGCAGCGCCCCACTCTACTGGTACCAATTTACTGTATTAGTCCATTTTCACATTTCTTATAAAGACATACCTGAGAGTGGATAATTTATGCAGGAAAAAGGGTTTAATGAACTTATAGTTTCATGTGGCTGGGGAGGCCTCGCCATCATGGCAGAAGGCAAGGAGGATCAAGTTATGTCTTAAATGAATGGCAGCCGGCAAAGAGAGAGCTTGTGTAGGGAAACTCCTCTTTATAAAAACCATCAGATCTCATGAGACTTATTCACTAGTATGAGAACAGCATGAGAAAGACCTGCTCCCATAATTCAGTTACCTACCACCAGGTCCGTCCCACAACACATGGGAATTCAAGATGAGATTTGGGTGGGGACACAGCAAAACTGTATGGTTTCAATTCTTTGAAATATATGGGGACTTGATTTATGTCCCAGTATATGGTCTATCATGGTGGATGTTCCATATATTCCTGAAAAGAATGTGTATCCTGGAGTGGTTGGTTATAGTGCTCTATTAATGCCAAGTAGGTCAAGTTGGTTGATAATACTCACATTATCTATACCCTTAATAATCTGTTTTTAACTGCTTCTATTATGAATCAATGTCAAGAGAAGGTTATAATCCTCAACTAATTTGTGATTTTATCTATTTCTTCTGTTACGTCTCAGTGTTTGAATCATGTACTTTGGTGGCTTTATTATTATAACATACACTATTATATTGCTGAATCTTCTTGATATTTCTACATTTTATCATTTTTTCTGTTTATCTCTAGTCACAAAGTCTACCTTGTCTCAGAGATTTATATAATCTCACTAACTTCCTTATTTTCACCACTTTTAAAACTAGTATATATATGTATTAGTTTGTTTTCATGCTGCTGATAAAGACATATACATGAAAAAGAGCTTAATGGATTTATAGTTCCACATGGCTGGGGAGGCCCCACAATCATGGCAGAAGGCAAGGAGGAACAAGTCATGTATTGCATGGATGGCAGTAGGCAAAGAGAGAGCTTGTGCAGGGAAACTCCCATTTTTAAAACCATCAGATCTCATGAGACTTATTCACTATCATGAGAACAGCAAGGGAAATATCTGCCCGCATTTTTCATTTATCTCCCTCCCACAACACGTGTGAATGCAAGATGAGATTTGGGATTACAGGCACACACCACCATGCCTGGCTAATTTTTTATATTTTATTAGAGACGGGGTTTCACCATGTTGGCCAGGATGGTCTCTATCTCCTGACCTCGTGATCCACCCGCCTGTGCCTCCCAAAGTGCTGGGATTACAGGTGTGAGCCACTGTGCCTGGCCTGGTTAATTTTTTTGTTTCAACTTCACTGATTCTTTTCCTTCTCACATTCAATCTGCTATTAGGTCATCGAATGACTACTTCATATCTAATTTTGTAAATTTTGTATTTTTTAGTTCTATAATTTCCATTTGATTCTTTTCTATTTTTAACATTTTTGCTCAAATTTTCTGTATTATCATGTAAATTAACTACGTATTTTTCTCAGTCTCATAAAATATTTATTATGTTATTTTAAAACCCTTGTCTGCTAATTCTGACATCCGTCTCCTCTGAGGGTTGGCTTGTGTTGACTACTTTCCTTTTGATTCTGGATCACATATATACTACTGGTTTTATGCATGTCTCATAATTTTTGATTGTATAAAATAAATTGTATCAAAGAAGAGTTGAAATTGAAGATAATATTTTCTTCAAGAAAATGACACACTACTTCTAACAAGTTGTAAGGATGAGGGGCTATGTCAATGTAGTCTGTAATTGCAATGAGCCTGTGCTCTGTTGCAACTTTTGTACTTAATTTTATCACTAGCTTCACATGGTTTTGAGGGGAAGATCAGGAATTTCCCTAAATTATGGCTTGGGACCTGAGAATTGGCAAGACTCTGGAGATCACTGTGTTTTTCACTTGTGTTGTCAGATTTCTCAATGGACAGAGATTTCTGTCTACTTCACAGGCGTGCTGCCTATATTTTGAGATACTGAAGAATTTTCTTTACTCTCCAGCTCTGCCCCTAACTTTCCATGTCTCAGAAGATAGATCTATATTATTTCAACTTTCTGGGTTTTGCAGCTTTGCTTTTGGTAAAAGCCCTGTGCACCTCAGGGGAATTTCTTTCAGTTATCCTGCCCTGTCTCCATCCTTTGGTAGGCTGCTGTCATTGCTCTATCTACCCTATGAGAGTTGGGGCGACCTCTATCAATTTTCATTCCCTGTGTTTAGCCTTTGGTGTTCTTCTGCTTTGCAATCGGTGACGGCCCAGCATGGCTTAGAGGATTTTTTACTCTGCTCTCTTCGTACATTTTGAAGTGTACTTGGTCAAAGCCCAGTGCATTTCAGGAGGATTTCTTTCTTTCTTTCTTTTCTTTCTTTCTTTCTTTCTTTCTTTCTTTCTTTCTTTCTTTCTTTCTTTCTTTCTTTCTTTCTTTCTTTCTTTCTTTCTTTCTTTCTTTCTTTCTTCCTTTCTTTCTTTCTTTCTTTCTTTCTAGCCTGAACCATGAAAATATTTTATTTTTTATTTATTTTTTATTATTATTATACTTTAAGTTCTAGGGTACATGTGCATAACGTGCAGGTTTGTTACATATGTATACTTGTGCCATGTTGCTGTGCTGCACCCATCAACTCGTCAGCACCCATTAACTCATTTTTTTTTATTTATTATACTTTAAGTTCTAGGGTACATGTGCACAATGTGCAGGTTTGTTACATATGTATACATGTGCCATGTTGGTGTGCTGCACCCATTAACTTGTTATTTACATTAGGTATATCTCCTAATGCTATCTCTTCCCCCCACCCTCCCCACAATAGGACCCGGTGTGTGATGATCCCCTTCCTGTGTCCAAGTGATGTCATCGTTCAGTTCCCACCTATGAGTGAAGACATGCGGTATTTGGTTTTCTGTTCTTGTGATAGTTTGCTGAGAATGATGGTTTCCAGCTGTATCCAGCCCCTACAAAGGACACGAACTCATCCTTTTTTGTGGCTGCATAGTATTCCATGGTGTATATGTGCCATATTTTCTTAATCCAGTCTGTCACTGATGGACATTTGGATTGATTCCAAGTCTTTGCTATTGTGAATAGTGCTGCAGTAAACATACATGTGCATGTGTCTTTATAGCAGCATGACTTAAAATCCTTTGTGTATATCCCCATTTCTTTCAGACCTCCTGCCCTGCCCCTGCCCTTTGCTACACTATTAACATGATTTAGCGAAAGTCAAATGGGGAATTGCTTTGTGGCTGACTTGTTCTTTTATAAGGCACACCACAATTCTAGACTGTTAGGCCAGCCCACACAGTACTGTTAAAAGTTTATTAACATTTTAGCAGTTTTTCCTTATTCCTATTAATTATGAGTTTTTCTTCCTCCTATGTTTCCAGGGATCATTTAGATTTTTTTTTCCTCTCTTTTACCTCATAAATTAAAACAAAAACAAAAACAAAAACATTATTTAGTAGCTTTTCTGTCTTTGTATTGGTTAGAGTGAGAGTGACAATCTCTTCTGACTACACCCTAAGTGAAAGTGGACATTCCATTATTTATAGATTTTTGAAGTGTTTTGTTTGAAAGAATATTTTATTTCTTTCTCTACCATATTTAAGGGCTGAAGCAAATAAATACAGCAATGAGAAACACACTTTAAACTTAATTGAGGTTTTGAGAGCTTAAGAGATTTTATTCTATTTTATCTTATTTTTTAATGTTTGAGATTCGCTTTTTTCCCCCTTAGGTTTATTGAGATAAAATTGAGAAATAAAAATTATATATGTTTATGCTATACAACATGTTTTTAAATATGTATGCATTATAAAATGATTACCAAAATCGAGCTAATTATCAAATTCATCACTTGACATAGTTATCTTTTTTTGGTAAGGAAATTTAAGATCTATTTTCTTACTAAATTTCAATTATACAATACATTATTATTAACTATAGTCACCATGGTGTACAATAGATGTATAAAACGTGTTCATCCTATCTGACTGAAACTTTGTACCCTTTGCCCAGTATCTCTCTATATCTCCCACCTCTTGGCAATTACCGTTTTACTCTCAGCTTCTCTGAGTTCTATGAGTTAGACATTCTTTTTTTTTTTTTTTTTTTTTTTTTTTGCCTTGAAAAGATAAGTTTTATTACTCAAGAGAATGAAATCCACTGATAGGTTCACAGAAACGTGTTCCATCTATAGCCTAAGTTTCTGGCAGATTTTTCTGGAAGAGGCTGTTGGCCGACGCCAGGTGTTTGAATAGACAGCAGCATCTTGGTGTTATACTCAGGAACAGCTTACCCCCTTCCATGGGGTAAAAAGTGGCTTCTTAGGTCTGCAAGAATTCAGGTTGTACTCGGGCTACTTTCCGGAATTCTTTAGTGTGGGTCTTAGGGCACTGCATCTCACACCAGCTGATGGGAACCATCTGGATACCTGACTCACTGTGGGCTACCACTACTCCCAGCTCGTTCTCGGCAGTGGTTAGCAGGTAGTTGGACTGTGCATCACCTAGGGAGATCACTTTGGCCAAGACAATGTCACCTGGGCGGAAACTCTTATAAATTTCAACCTTGTCTTTTTCAGTTGCTCGGACATCTTCCTTGCGGATAGTTCCTCGAAAAGAGTTCTTAAGTGGCATGGACCCCACATATAGGATGTGTACTTTGGCAAAGCGTGAATTGATACTAGAGACCTTACAGGTTACAATAGCTCCGACATCTGGCAGTAACTGGGACTCTGTTTCTCTTACTACAGACACCACAGGAAGCGCGCCGTTCTCGCTGCTCTTCATCAGGCAGCCGGCAAGCGACGAAAAGATGTAGCCGTGGCGGGTGTAGGTGCCGCTGCCCGGACTGCCCTCCTCCAAGTTACACTTAGATTCCATACTTAAGTGAGATCATGCGGTATTTGTCTTTCTCTGCCTGACTTATTTCACTTACCATAAGTTTCTCCAGGTTCATGCATGTTGTTGTAAATGACAAGGTTTCCTTCTTCTTAAAGGCGGAATCATTTCTTGTCATGTATATAATCCCACATTTTCTTTACTCACTTCCCCATCAATAGACACTTGGTTGATTCCATATCCTGGCTGTTGTGAGTAATGCTGCAGTGAACATGAGAGTGCATACTGATTTCATTTCCTTTAGATACATACCCAGAAGTGGGATTGCTGAATCATATAGTAGTTCTATTTGTAATTTTTTTGACTTCCCAGCATTAATTAATGAGGTTCAACCATCACATTTCTGTAAGGCAAAAGTTGTATGAACTTGTCAATCACTTCCAAAACTTAAATACTTTATCACATACTATGTGACAGTCACCACTTACAGGCATAGGCTTTCAGTGCTGGCTGATAGCTCACCAGGCTTTTACATTTCTGTCTTCCATGATGACCAACAATTTGGCATTGGGATGACTGGCTGAGACCAAGTTGACTTTATTATAGCTGTGGGGCAAACAAAATCCTGTTCTTATGCATGTATTCCACATATCTAAGATGTTCTGGCAGCTGGTACCTTTTGTGCTGGCCTCTATTAAAGGCTTGACACACTGGTAACAAGTCTGTGGGACAGGGAGGAACCTGGATCTATTTCCACATGGAAGGGGAGAATTAACTGGTATGTCCAAAAAGTCAGACTATCTCCTGACCCTTGTTTTCTGGAGGCTTATCAGGGCCTCTCTTGCTTGCTGAATTGCCTGGGCCTGAGGGAGGTGCTGCCTGCTGGGACTTCAATAAGAATTTTGTACAATGATTTAGCTCTCTGGGAATCAAAGCTGCATCTACTTGCTGCCAGAAAACATGTGTTTTTAACTTTGGACTTGTAACTTTTGAATACAGTTTTAAAGATACATTGTGTAGAAAAGCAGAAGGTTTGGTTAAGTAGTTTGCTCATTGACGTATTATTAGTTACATATCAGTTAGTGAATGTGAATTTCTTGGCATGGGAAGTGAAACATGATAAGCACTCAAAATGGGTTCATTGTTATTTTTTGTTGGAATCGTATAACTACAGGATGCCAGCTTTGTTGGATAAGGCACAGGGGAACTTAGTTGAGAGCATTGCTATGAAATAGAGAAAGAATGAAGTTGGCTCTTCGGATGGACTCTGCAGGAATTTCTGTGTTGCATATGCAAGCTGAATATCTCAGAAGATAAACATGCCATTAAATTCCAAAATTTTAAATCACATTAGAAGTATTTAAGTGGCTTGCAAAGAGTATAATGGTTTGGAAAATTACAACATATTTCATGCTGTGATAATTCAGAGCCCTAAATTGATTCAACATGAACTCCATCTTGAAAATAAGCACATGAACATTCCAATTATGTAGGATCAAGATTAACTATAAATTTCTAAGTCTATAACTCAGTATTGTTTTAAACTTCCACCTGAAAATAACTGATCATGTCTAGTTATATGGTTATTTCTATTTGAGTAATTTCTTACATATGGGTGGCCATCAGTAAATTTTCATCAAGTTGTATGACAGCCTAGTTCAAGTTATCTTTCAACCCTTTATTTGATTCTTCATCGAATTTGATTGTTTCATTTAATGCACCAAAAGGAAGCACCATAGACCATGGATTTCGCACATACCTCTTTAATTGCACATCTCCCCCTCTTCTAATTCTTCTTCAATTACCTAAGAGCTTTCCTTCTTTCTTCAATATGTATTTTTTCTGTTCTTGTCCCCTTTCTCTCTAATTCTGTCTTCTTCTTTCTCCCCCTTTTCCTCTTCCTCCTGTTTTCTCTCTTTCTTTCCTATTCCCATGCCCAACCCTCAACAATTTTTCTCCTTCTTGCTATTTGTGGACTAAAAACATTCATACAGACATTACAAAACATTTAAAAAGTAATGTTAGTGATTCCTAAGTATGGAGGAAGGAGAAAGCATATGTTTTAAGTGAAAATCAGCATCATTTAAACCTCCTATAGTCAGATATACAAAGACTAGAAGAAAATCTGAAAAAGTAAATATAATTCAAATTATATTTACTTACTCTTTCATTTTGACTTTTTTTTTTTTTTTTGAAACAGAATCTTGCTCTGTTGCCCAGGCTGGAGTACAGTGGCATGATCTCTGCTCACTGCAACCTTTGCTTCCCGAGTTCAAGCCATTCTCCTACCTCAGCCTGCCAAGTAGCTGGGATTACAGGTGTGAGCCCTCACGCCCAGCTAATTTTTGTATTTTTAGTAGAGATGAGGTTTCACCATGCTGGCCAGGCTGGTCTTGAACTCCTGACCTCAAGTGATCCTCCCACCTCGGCCTCCCAAAGTGCTTGGATTACAGGTGTGAGCCACCGTGACTGACCTCATTTTGATTTTTATAGATGTTATTATTATACTTTTTCTAGTGGGGAGTGGGTGAACTCCCCCCACTCCCTACCAGAAAAGGTATAATAAATTTTTTCAGACAGGATCTTGCTGTCACCCAGGCTGGGGGGCAATGGTGTGATTGGCTTACTGTAACCTTTAATGTCTGGGCTCAAGTGATCCTTACACTTTAGCCTTCTGGGTAGCTGGGACTGCAGATGCACACCACCATGCCCAGCTAATTTTCTTATTTCTCGTAGAGACAAGTTCTCACTGTGTTGCCTAGGCTGGTCTCCAATTCCTGGCTTTGGCTTCCCAAAGTGCTGGGATTACAAGTGTGAGCCATTACACCCGGCCTAAATAACCTTCTTGTCTATATATCTTAGAAGTCTCTTTTACAGTCTCCTTAAAATTTTCTTTCTAAATCTTTGCCTCTGAAGCTGCTTCCCTCCCCACCGTCATCCTACAAATTAAACTTTTAAAATAAATTATTAATTGAATTGCTTGTTTTTGTCTTCTTCATAATCATCATCATTATAATAAACTGGTTTTATTCAACATTGCATTGAAAATATACTTTAACTGCACAATGTATTGAATATGCTGTTGTGATCTCATATACAATTCTCATCACCATTTCTAACTTTTTTTTTTTTTGAGACAGGGTCTTTCTCTGTCGCTTAGGCTGGAGTACAGTGGCGCCATCTCGGCTCACTGCAACCTCCGACTCCTTGGTTCAAGCAATTCTGCTGCCTCAGCCTCCTGAGTAGCTGGGATTACAGGAGTCTGCCACCATGCAGGACTAATTTTTGTATTTTTAGTAGAGATGGGGGTCTCACCATGTTGACCAGGCTGGTCTCGAACTCCTGACCTTAAGTGATCCACCTGGCTCGGCCTCCCAAAGTGCTAGGACTACAGGCATGAGCCACTGGGCCCAGCCTTCTAACCTTATTTCTATGGTAAATGTTTTTTGACTTACAAACAAACTTTTAGAGGAACACCCATATGTAGTTCTGGAACTTTCTGAATTGAGTTCTCTGGAAAATTTGAAGTGTTAGAGTGAAAGTATAAGTACATTTTTCCTCCTTTGATGTTGCTATCAATGAGAGAAACACTCTCAAATATATACAAACAAATAAGAGTAAATGACAAGAAAAATCACTGCAGATTACACACACAAACATATGAATGATTAATTGCTAAGGTAGATCACGAGAATGTCTCTCTCTCCCTGAATGTGTGTGTGTGTGTGTTTTGGGAGGTATACAATAGTTCATGGCATTTTTATTTCATTAAAATTATACCACATTTAGTGCTCCTATATTTTGGTCAGTCAAATAATTTTGAATTCCAGCCAATTTTACCTTTCAATTTCAATTTGAATAGTTTTGATTGTTGGCATAGCTGCTTTCATCACTGGCAAGTAAGTTTTACCTATAATGCAATCTGACTGAATCTGTACGTCAAACATAAAAAAAAAACATTCTTAGTACATTAAAGCCACACACCTAACTTTTAGATTAACTACTCTTTGGAATTATATACATTTTTCCCTATTTCATCAATGTGAATGAAATAAATTCTTGGATTTCTAAGTAATAAAACTGGCATATTGAGTGGTTTGGTAAATTTGGTAATATGTAGAAATAAGTTATTTATTAATCTCATATATTCTTTTAAATCAAGAATATTATTAAGAGTCCTTGCTAGTGATTAGAAGCATGGATTCTTAAACCAGACTGTCTCAGTTCAAATCTCAGAACCTAAAAGTACATAGAAAATATTTGGAACATTATCTGGCATATAGGAAGAATTATAGAAGTGTTAACAACTCTGGCTTTCAGAGAAGAAAATCTGTTAAAAAACGGAAAACCTGAAAATATGAAATAACATTGAAATCAAATGAGTGTTTCTTATAATTTATGTAGAGGAAATACTGCCAGGATAAGTCAAATTACTTAAAAATCTTATTTCTGACAAAATTCTAGAAATTTTGATTTCTAGAAGTCAAAATTTTGATTTCTAGAAAGAAAATTGATATTTGAAGTATATAGATATACATCTCCATAAAGTAATCTTAGGAACCTGAACTCTGTGACATTTTGATTAATAGAAAACAGCATTATCTTATGCTATAGAAATGACTTCACAAGTTTTCTTAAAAATAATGTACCTTTGGCTTTATATAAAGATGAAAATGAATAAAAATATGAATGTACCCTTTTATTTTCTTTTTAATTTTTGTGGGTACATAGTAGGCGTATATATTTATGAGATACTTTAGATGTTTTGATACAGGCATGCAATGTGAGATAAGCACATCGTGGAGAATGGGGTCTTCATCTCCTTAAGAATTTATCCTTTGAGTTACAAACAATCCAACTACACTTTTAAGTTATTTTAAAGTGTATAATTAAGGTATTATTGACCATAATCACCCTGTTGTGCTATCAAATAGTAGGTCTTATTCATT